ATACGCATCAAGGAAAGACAAGGTTTTGCATCCCATAGTGGAGTCAACGATCTGATCGATTCGGGGTAACGGGAAAGGGACTTTTGGACAAGCTTTGTTCAAACCGGTATAGTCTACACACATCCTCCATTTCCCACTTTTCTTCCTAACTAACACGGGGTTAGCCAACCACTCCGGGTGGGATACTTCCTTGATGAATCCGGCCGCCAGTAGTTTCTGCACCTCCTCACCGATGGCCCTGCGCTTTTCCTCGTCGAAGCGGCGCAGGCGTTGCCTTACCGGTCTAGAGCCGGCACGGACGTCCAGGGAGTGCTCGGCGACTTCCCTCGGTATGCCCGGCATGTCCAAGGGACTCCATGAAAATATGTCGGCATTCGCACAGAGGAAGTCGACGAGCACGGCTTCCTATTTGATATCGAGGGTGGCACTGATCCTCAGCGCCCGGTCGTCGGGGCTGGCGGGGTCGACCGGGATGAGTTTGATGGTCTCCGCGGGCTCGAACGCCCCCGCGCGATGCTTGGAGTTAGGCACCTCGCCACTGAGTTGGTCGAGGTGGGCGATGAGGGTCTCGGCCTTCGCAAGAGCCTCTGCGTACTCGATGCATTCAACGTCGCAGTCGTATGCATGTTCGTACGTGGACTCAATCGTGATGACACCGCCAGGGCCTAGCATCTTGAGCTTGAGGTAGGTATAGTTGGGCACTGCCATGAACTTGGCATAGCACGGCCGCCCCAGAATGGCGTGGTAGGCTCCCCCGAATCCGACTACCTCGAAGGTGAGGACTTCCTTGCGGTAGTTGGAGGGGGTGCCGAAGCAGACAGGAAGGTCGATGCGCCCGAGGGGTCGCGTGCGCCTCCCTGGCACGATGCCGTGGAAGGGTGTGACATCGCCTCGGAGCCTCGACCGATCGATCTCCAAGAGCTCCAGGGTGTTGGCGTAGAGGATGTTGAGGCCGCTGCCTTCGTCCATCAACACCTTGGAGAGTCGGGTGTTGCCGATGATTGGGTCGACAACCAGCGGGTACTGCCCGGGATTCGGAACATGGTCAGGGTGGTCATCTCGATCGAAGGTGATCGCCTCTCGAGACTAGTCAAGGTACTGGGGGTGGCTACCTTGACCGAGAAGACTTCTCGGCGTTCCCTCTTGCACTGTCGCGCCATAAGGCATGCCGAGGGCCCGCCGAAGATCATGAAGGCGTTGCGTACTTCGGGGAACCCGTCGTCCTTGTCCTCGTCCCGGTCGCCGGCGCCCTTCTGCTTGGCGTCGTCGTCGGGGAGCCCGAGCCTGGCGTAGTAACGTCGCAGCATGGAGCAATCCTCGAGGGCGTGCTTGACCGGGCCTTGGTGATAAGGGCATGGTTTCTTGAGCATGTCGTCGAAAGGCCTAGGGCCTTTGGGGCCTCGGGGATTCTTGCGTTCTACGGCCCCGACCAGATCAACCCCCATGACCTCCTGCTTCCCTAGGCGCCCCTTTTTCTTTCTCTTAGGGAGGTGGGAGGCCGAGGCGTCGGGGGCCTCGTCCCTCCGTTTTCCCTTGGCGTCGCTGTAGGGGAAGATGGCACCGACAGCCTCCTCGCCCGAGGCAAAGTTGGTGGCGATGTCGAGGAGCGCAGCAGCGGTGCGTGGCACGTTCCGACCTAGCTCCCGCACCAGGTCCCGGTAGGTGGTGCCGGAGAGGAAAGCCTGGACGATCTCCGAGTCGCCGACGCTGAGCAGCTCGGTGCACTGCTTGGAGAAGCGCCGGATGAAATCTCGGAGAGACTCGCCTGGTTTCTGGCGGCAATTCTTAAGGTCACAGGAGTTTCCGGGACGTACGTACGTGCCCTGAAAATTCCCAACGAAGACCCTAACCAAGTCGCGCCAGTCGTGGATCTGTGAGGGAGGGAGGTGCTCGAGCCAGGCTCGCGCCGAGTCTGACAAGAGCAAGGGGAGGTTACGGATGATGAGCAGGTCATCATCCGCGCCACCTAGCTGGCAGGCCAGGCGGTAGTCGGCAAGCCAGAGTTCGGGGTTGGTCTCACCGCTGTACTTCACGAGGTTGGCTGGTTGCCAAAAACGGGCCGGGGACTGGGCGACACGGATAGCTCTGCTGAAGACTCGAGGGCCAGGTGGCTCAGGAGAAGGGCTGCGGTCTTCCTCGCTGTCATAGCGGCTACCTCGGTGCACATGGTAGCCTCGGGCGGGCCCCTCACCGTCGTGGCGTCGTCGTCGGCCGACCACCTCGTGGTCTCCCTGCCCCTCATGTCGATTGTCGAGGCGGTCAAGGAGCACGGGGACCCTGTGAGCTATCGGTGCTCGAGCAGGTTTGGGACGAGCCGAGGCTTCCCTGTCCTGCCGAGGTGGTGCCGCGGGTAGGTTCGAGACGCCCCCGTGCCGTCGGGAGGCAGAACTCTCGGCTTGCTGAACCGCGGCGGTCTCTAGGAGATCTCGGAGTTCGCCGCGGACCCGCCGCCCCTCCGCGGTAGAAGGCTCGGGCATTGCGCGAACCAGCATCGCCGCAGCCGCGACGTTCTGGCTAGCGCGATTGAAGATCGGGGGTTGCTCACTCCCTTCGTCGTTATGGATGCGGTGATGCACGTCGAGGGCCCTCCGTCGGGCTCCCCCGCCTTCGCCGCGACCTCGCTGTTCCTGTTCGAGAGAGTCTCGAAGCTGCTGCAGAAGGAGTTGGTCTTGCTCGACCTTGGCCTGGAGCTCACGGAGCTGTTCTAGGTCTGGGCGCTGAGGTCGCGCAAGAGCGACGTTCTCATTTCGTGCGGCCGGCAGGACGGCGCGTGGAGGTGTAGCGACGCCCGCGCCGGGGCGGAGCGGGGAACGGCTACCTGCCCCCTCGTCCTCTTCGCCCGCTCTCGGCATCCCGACCCCGACATGAAAACATTCGCGAGTGGGGTCGTAGGTGCCTTCGTCGTCGGAGTCGGAGTAGCCGAAGCAGTAGTCGCTTGCAGCCAAGAACTGGCGCAAAGCCCCAGGGTTGTGGAGTCCGGAAAAATCCACCCCGGGCCATGCCTCGTCCTCGTCTGAGGAGTCGGAGTGGGTGCTCAGGTCGAGAGCGAAGCGCTGGCGGCGTTCCGAGGGGTGCTCGTGAGCGGCAGAGTAAGCGTAGGCGTACGAGGCGGCGGCATTTCTCAACCCAAAGGGGTATGGGGACGGTGCCGTCTCCAGATTCTGCCCCGCCGGGGTCGGCTCTTCAGGGAGTGGTGGAGCGGAGCTTGACGACTGGGCATCGCCGCGTGCCACAGGCAAGTTTCCTTTGTCCAAGCTCAGGCTAGACAGGTCCCCAGCCAGGGACCCTGTGCCAACAGCTGGTCGTAGGATATCGGCGGGGGGTGGCGTGTCGCCCAGGATTCGCGTAGCGTCGGGGTGGCCTTGTTCGTGCCGTGCTTGGCGAGCGCGGCGAGAGCGGCCTCCCGGACGCCGCCCGCGCCTGGGCTGCCAGGGCGTAACTTCATCGTTGGTTGGTGGGGCTCGAGGAGTGAGGAGCACCAAGTCGTACTCATGCCCTAGAGACATGAACTCTAGGCTCCCGAACCAAACCACGGTGCCGAGACGCAATGGTCGTACGTGGTCTGCCATCCGGAACCTGCTGGGATGACGAAACCGACACGCAGCGGCCCCTACCTGGCGCGCCAACTGTCGGTGTTTCGGACCGGGGGTCCTCAACCAACCAGTGAATTTGTTCTGCATGCTCCCGATCCGGATGGTGATGCAAAGAGACTCAAGGTTTATACTGGTTCAGGCAATCGAGGCCCTACGTCCAGTCTGAGAGATCGATCTTGTATTCATTGCACCGAGGTGCTCGTAGTAGGGGGTTACAAGCTAAAGGAGAGGGGGAGCTGGTCCTAGGTCTCGGCTGGGTGTCGTGCGGGCCGCTTGAGACGTTGCTCTCAGGCGGCAGGAGTGTGCGTGTGTGTGTGTGTGTCACAAGGTGTCCCTCTCCCCCTAAAAACAGCCCAGGTCCTCTCCTTTTATAGCATGAAGGGAGGACTAGGGCGGTACATGAGCTAACTATACGGCGTCGTGTGAACAGAGGCGGCGTGTCCGGGCCCTGTAGCCTGTTCCTGTGGTGGTGTGGCCGTCGGAGTGGTCCGTCCTTGGAGCACTGGGGCGACGTGGCCGTGCTATCAGATCCTGTGCGTCGTGGGAGCCCCGGGACTGCCTCGGAGTGGGTGCGGCGGTGGACGTGCAAGCCACTGTGGACGGACTGCGCGCGAGGCCGAGACTTGGTCGGTGTCGAGGCTGCACCATGGTGGAGGGGTCTCGGCAGGCACGATCCCCAAGATGGCCGAGACCTTGGTGTACGGTGCCGAGGCCTCGAGTGGGCGGCTGATCGTGGGTACAGTGTTAGGACACAGTGGTCGGTAATTCCCGCCGTACCCTGTCCCAGCCGGTATGGCGCTGATCGTGGATACAGCGTTAGGACACAGTGGCCGGTAATCTCCGCCGTACCCTGTCCCAGCCGGTATGGCGCTGATGCGACCTTGGGTCGCGTCGGCCATTCTGTGGCGTTGAGCCGTCGTCCGGCTGAGATTGCGGGAGTGGTTGAAGCATTAATGGGACATGACACGTTGTCTGGAGGGTCGGTCGAGGCGGGGGGTGACGGACTGCGGGCGACCCGGCCTCGAGCGACACGGAGGCTGGGGCCTCGCGCGAGACGGAGATCGGGTTCCTTGCCGAGGCCTTGCGAGACGCCTCGCGCGATACGGAGAATGTACCCCTGCCGAGGCCTTCCCTGGAGAGCCTCGGGCGAGACGGAGACGGCGCCCCCTGCCGAGGCTCGGCGCCCCCTGCCGAGGCCTACCCTGGGGAGCCTCGCGCGAGGCGGAGTTTGTTCCGAGACCTCCTGCTCGAGGCTCGAGGCGAGGTGGAGGAGGGCTCGGTCGTGGCAGGTGAGGGGCCCACGGCTTACCTTCTAGCTTTATTTTGATGTTTGCTTGGGGTACCCTGTTCTAAGGTACCCGACAGTATGTGAATAAATTGTTTTTTATTTCCCTTTTTATCATGTAGATGGTATTCCGGGTGGGAAGCATCCAGATATTTTGAAGCAGATGCAGCAAGCTCAAAGCCTCCATTTGTAATGGTAAGTGTGCCTTCATTTTCCAAAGGGTTCTTTTAAGAAGAAACATTTGCTCACACACATTATGTTGCTGTTCAGTTAGATGATTTCACACAGTGAGGTTGTTTATTTATGCAATATAGGAATCATTTGACACATCTATGTTTTATACGTTGTTCAGGTCCAGCCACCCCCTAATGTGACGGGGGTGCTTCACATAGGCCATGCAATCACAGCAGCTATTGAGGTAGTGACTATTGATTAATGTCCTTTTATTTCTTCACTATGTGTTATGATGTCGCCATTCATGCCCTTTTATTTTGATGCATTGAGAATAATTCAGGATGCTATGATTCGCTGGCGGAGGATGTCAGGTTACAATGCATTATGGGTTCCTGGAATGGACCATGCTGGCATAGCTACACAGGTATTTCTGTTTACTGTCATCAAATAAGTTCAACACATAAAACATGCTTCATCCGTTCCAATTTGATAGTGCATTCTTTTGGACTTTTATATTTTAATATATTTTTTCTATAAACTTTTTCAAAGTTAGAGATATTTAACTTAGGACAAAGCTAAAGTGGCCTATAAGTAGTTGGGATACAAGTCAGCCTGTTCGTTTGGCTGTGGCTTGTCGTAAACGATCGTAAATTTCCAGCCGGAACAGTATTTTTCTCTCACACAAACCAGCCAGCAGTACTTCTAAACGAACCAGCAACGAAACGAACCAGCCAACCGAACAGGCTGATATGTTTCCTCTACATGAGAAATTATGTGTTATTGCAATACCACCCATGGTTGATAATTCTCTTCTTTAAAGTATGGGAGTGGACTGATTATCTCTTTGTCAATACTCTATGGTAGCTTGCGTCAGCTAAATTATTTGTTTTGCACCATCAGGTGGTGGTCGAGAAAAAACTCATGCGTGAGAGGAATCTATCAAGGCATGATATAGGACGTGAGAATTTTTTATCTGAGGTAAGTGCTTGGTTCCTTAAGCATAACGTACCTCACTAGTGGCAATGGAATTATAATGTTCAAGGTGTATTGCCACATTGATGGGCATTGTTTAACACTTAAGTAGGATTTAGTGCCAAAATATGTTTTTCATTTCATGCCAGTGTGCACTGATGTCCATACAGCGACGAAATTTTGCATACGTCAATCAATCTACCATCTGACACAGAAAATCCCAAAGTCTGTAGTGGCATTATATACATTGCTCAGTTAACTTAATTACCTGTGAAAAAGTTAGATATCATCCATATTATAAGTTGCCGGTTCATTCTTATATTTCCTTGTTCCCTTTTTTCATTTGTTTCTTTCACAGGTCCTCAAATGGGAAGACCAGCAAGGTGGTACCATACTGAAACAGCTTCGCATGCTTGGGGCTTCACTTGATTGGTCACGTGGGGTTTTCCTCGATGGTTTAGCTTGGGAAAAGTCTACATTTATGTATGGAATACTATTTTGTTTTGTTTCAACTCTCAAATTTCCTTGGAATCTATGTTCAGTGTTTTTCAATGGATGAGCAGAGATCAAAAGCTGTGACCGAGGCTTTTGTTAGGCTGTATAAGGATGGCCTAATTTATAGGTTAGTTTTCCATAATCTTGAAAGTTCTGTAATCTGTATGTGGTATATTTGGTTCTACATCGACAATGTGTGTGTATTTTTTCTTATTATGTGTTATTTTGGAATTTTCCCATCTTGATTGATATATGTCTTCTGGATGGATTACCCTGATCCCTGATGCAGGGCTCATCGTCTTGTGAACTGGGATTGTGCACTTCGAACAGCAATTTCTGATATTGAGGTACATGAGACTTCCACATTTCCAACAGAACGGACAGTTTGGTTCCTTGCATAACTGCAGCACCCACATGTTCCAGTATAATATAATAATGTATCCATTACCTATTTCAGGTTGACCATAAGGATCTTACAGGAGAGACTTTGTTAGAGGTTCCTGGTTATAGATCTCCAGTGCAGTTTGGTGTTTTGATATGTTTTGCCTATCCTCTAGAAGAAGGTATTGGTGAAATTATAGTCGCAACAACGCGGATAGAAACGATGCTTGGTGATACTGCCATTGCTGTTCATCCGCAGGATGAAAGATATAAGCATTTACATGGAAAATATGCCCTGCACCCTTTCAATGGCCGAAAACTCAAAATTATTTGTGATGCGGAGTTAGTGGATCCTAATTTTGGTACTGGTGCTGTCAAGGTTGGTGTGTTCATAGTGGTGTTTTGGATATCTTGATTTTGATTTTTCCTATTTGGTCTATTTATTACATATTGCTATAAGTATCCACTCTTTTATATATATTGTGTTTATTTATTGCTATCCTGCAGATTACACCAGCTCATGATCCCAATGACTTCAAGGTTGGGGAACGGCATAACCTTGAGTTCATTAATATTTTCACAGATGATGGGAACATAAATGAAATGGGAGGCTCACAATTTGCAGGGATGCCACGTTTTGTTGCTCGTACTGCTGTTATCGATGCATTGAAGGATAAGGTGTTGCTAGATGATTTATTTTTGCTGCTATTCATAATTAATTCTATTTCTACCTCAATCTTGTAGTCGAGAAATTCAATATGGTTTGCTAGAATTTATTTTTATTTAAGTTTCTTAACCATCTTAGAGTGTATACCCAAAATTCACGATTCAGTTGAATCAAATAGGGGAAAAAATATAGTTGAATACTGTTTGATTGTATGTTCCAATAATCTATAGAGTAATTGTGCACATATTCCTTGAACCTGAAGCTTAGCAATTGTTACAAAGAGTAAACTTAATTGTATTACAATTGGTGCATCAATACTTGATTGTTGCTTGGTACCAACATGTTTTATTTCTTCAACTGGCTTTATCTTTTCCACTCCAGCTATAATATTTAGTTAGTGGGAAAAACCTGTTTTATATTAATACTATATGACATTTGTGTGAAGATTACTGATATTTGTTTTCCTATTTTTATTGAAAGTTTTGCCTGTTTGTTTATCTTGCTGTTGTTATCCATCTTTTCCTGTATTTTTTTGCTATTGTAATTGCAATATTGTAAACAGTTTGCACTTGTCAATCAAGGATCTGTACCGAGGCACAAAGAATACCGTGACAAGCTTGAGTCTTTGTTCAAGATCTAAAGATGTTGTGGAGCCAATGATGAGGCCCCAGTGGTTTGTTAGTTGTAACTCTATGGCAAAGGTAGCTCTTGATGCTGTCAAATCCAAAAAGATTGAGATCATTCCACCACAATATGAGCAAGACTGGTATAGGTAAACACTTCTTTTCCTTCAGGCATGCATCCTTTTTTATGGTCAGTTTATGCAACATGTTCACCCTCCTGGATTACAGAATTGATAGAACAATGATCAATACCACATGACTTTTCGGTGTTGCAGATGGCTTGAAAACATATGTGATTGGTGTATTTCAAGACAACTTTGGTGGGGACACCGCATACCTGCTTGGTATGTAACACTAGAAGATGACAAAGAGAAAGATATGGGTAGTTACAGTGACCACTGGATTATTGCAAGGAATGAAAATGATGCAATCTTGGAGGCAAAGCAGAGGTATCCAGCAAAGAAATATCAGTTAGATCAAGATCCTGACGTCTTGGACACATGGTTTTCATCTGGCCTCTTCCCATTAAGTGTACTTGGTTGGCCAGATGATAAACCTGATCTTAGTACTTTCTACCCTGGTTCTGTCCTTGAAACTGGATCCGATATCCTATTCTTTTGGGTAGCACGGATGGTGATGATGGGAATGCAACTCGGCGGGGATGTTCCATTTCAGAAGGTAAGTATTCTGAGAAAACTGCAGTGCCAATCTTTTGTCAATTGCAGCCGTGCCGAATTCTTGCTCTGCCAATTCCACTTCTGTGTAGAACAGTGTAACGGCCTTTTTTTCCGATCGTGCTAGGCACGTTTTTCATTAAGCAGGAGAGTGTAACAGCCTTTTAACATTAACATTGATCCTGGGGGCATGGACAAAACTTTAGGAACAAGGAATCTTTGATGGGGCCTCTCCTTCCTTCTTGTTGGCCCTTCATTTCTTCATAGAGGATGCAGGACTTTGGTGCTTGGGTACAGGTACAAAGCTCCAGGAACTGGTCATGGGTAGGGTAGAGGGGTTGGTTTGGGTAGAAGGCTGGTTGTGAGCCCCCCCTGCTGAGGTCGTTGTTGTTTTTTGTTATCGGTGATTAGTCCTAGTTTTTTTTTGTTTTGCAATCTTCTTTGGCCTCCTAGAGGACACTGAAGTGATTGCTTTGTATGAGGCTCCCCCCAATACACACACACTTTTTTCTCTCTAATATAAAAGATGCGCAGCTCTCCAACATGTTCTAGAAAAATAATAATTAGTTAAAGGTTAGAAATCAATAATATTTAATAGTTCCTTTTTAGGCAAACCCATGCCTAATGCTTGAGCTATTTAAACCTCCATCAATTTGGTCTGTTAGAGAACATTCTTGTTGGTCACTTGGATGCCCTGCACTATTAAGCAGTAAGCTTACCAGCACACTCACTATGGCTAGAGGTAGAAGAAGATATTGAGAACAGCTCACACACACTGCATAAGCCCAGCGCTGGCCGAAAGTTCTGCTTCTAGATGTGGCAAACTAAACTGATTTGTTGTATTGCCTTTGGATAGAATATATACAACTGTAGTTGTACCTCTATCAAGTACATAGTTGTTGGTGAGTATACCAACTACCTACTACCGAAGTACAAAAGTACACCAACTACCTACCCCTAAGGTACAGAGTACACCAACTACCTTCTCCTAAGGTACAAGAGTACACCAACTTCCTACTCTTAAAGTACAAAGCTTAGCTCAGCCATCTCCACTCTACATGGCTGAAGTAAACCACTACTACTATGGCCTAATGCCTTACTAGCTACAGGAGCTGATCGGTCTCCAACTCCCAATAGGGAGTGGTCGGCCGAGCCGACCATCCTCCAACAATGGAGAAACGGGGAGCAGCAGATTATGTCTTACAATTCTAACTAGCGTTAATCACTTTAAATCATTTCTTCCATGTAAATCCCTTGCACTAATTGATGTACTTTCTACACCTATATGTCACAACATCTACTTGAAACTAGTGTAGTTTACATAATCACCTAAAATGCTAACATGATTTCTGGGTCTAACTCAACTACAATAGCTTTAGTTGTGCTGAACGTGAAGAACACCAATTCCCTAGTGACCATCAGAAACTCCATTTTACGCACATAGTAGAAATGATGCCTTACAATTAGAAAATGGAACCTTGATTAATGACTTTCTTTTGCGTTTATTTATCAGGTTTACTTGCATCCCATTGTCCGTGATGCACATGGCCGTAAGATGTCCAAGTCACTGGGAAATGTCATTGATCCCATTGATGTAATAAATGGCATATCACTGGAAAATCTTCAGAAAAAGTTGGAAAATGGCAACCTGGATCCAAAAGAGTTAGAGAAGGCAAAAGATGGCCAGAGGAAGGATTTTCCTGACGGAATTCCAGGATGTGGTACTGATGCCCTTCGCTTTGCCCTGATTTCCTATACTTCTCAGGTTATATGTAACTCCAATTCATTTTATATTCTCTGTGTTGCCTTTGCCAAACTTCTTGTAGTAAAATATGTTGTATTGCAGTCTGACAAGATAAACCTGGATATCAAAAGAGTGCATGGGTATCGACAGTGGTGCAATAAGCTGTGGAATGCCATTCGTTTTGCGATGAACAAGCTTGGAGAGCAGTACAGGCCACCAGCAACTGTTGATGTGTGTTCTTTGCCACCAGTCTGCAAATGGATACTCTCAGTACTTAACAAGGCTATTGGCAAGACTGTGACATCATTAGAAGCATATAAATTCTCTGAGGCCACATCCTCTATATACTCGTGGTGGCAGTACGAGCTCTGCGATGTATTTATTGAAGCAATAAAACCTTATTTCAATGAATCTCAAGAGTTTGAATCTGCAAGAGGTGCATGTAGAGATACACTATGGGTATGCTTGGAGATTGGTTTGCGCCTGCTACATCCATTCATGCCTTACATAACTGAGGAGCTTTGGCAGCGTCTTCCTCAGCCTAAAGAGGCTTGGAGGAAAGATTCCATTATGATATCAGAATACCCCTCAGTTGTTCAGGTAAGTTGCTACTTTTCCCCGAGTGTTTAGTGCAGTACAGACGGGCATTCTAAATACAGGAATAGGAATTGCCTCAGCTCTTGGGAGTTTTTCCCTGAGCGTTGCTACTGTGGCACGGGAGTTTGGCATGGAGGAATGCCACAACTCTTGTACATAAACTCTCTTTTTCATGCTTAATTGAAGGGCAAAACTGCCCGCCATTGCGGCCCAAAAAAAAAAGTTGCTACTTTTCATAGCAAGTTTGTCTTTCCAAGAATTTGATGTTCTGAATTCCAATTTGATTTATTTTAGTATGCGAAAATAGATGGAGTCTGATAAATGAAAAAATTGCTATACGGTTTGAGAAAAAAATATTTAATAGAGGGAAGCAGCATTGTAGTGAATATACATATAGAAACGAACAAAATTTATAAGGCATATCTACCTCAGTTTGAGAGATTAGATAACTCCACATCCTGCAATACAACTTTGTAACCCCTATTTCACTCTAGAAAACTTTTTTTTGATTGACAGAAATGGACAAATGAAAATATTGAGGATGAAATGGAGATTGTGTTAGATATCGTGAACAAGCTACGATCACTTCGGCCATCAACAGATACATATGAAAGGTTTTTTTTGTGTTAAAGAAATGTGTTATCTATGTTAGCAGTGTGCGAGAACGATGTGTTTTTTTTTGAAACGCAATGGCAGGAGCTCTGCCTTTCCATTAAGATAGGAAAGAGAGTTTATATACAAGAGCTGTAGAGATCCCCGAGCAGGACAAGGGGGGTAAAGAGGTGAACAAAATTATACAGTCGTCTAGGACGATTACTCTCCCCAAGAATGAGCCATCTTCTTCTGAAGGATGTCCTCTTTCGTTCTTGAGGCCACCTGCATTGCCGTTTCGTGGGTGTTTGTGAATATTCTTCTATTTCTCTCTTTCCAAATGTTCCAGACGGTGTAGATTACCAAGCCATTGAAGCGCTTTCTGTCTTCCTTGGTTATCTTGGATTGGACCTCTTCCCACCACGAGATGAAATGGGTTGGATCTTCGGCCGGGAGGATTATGCTCGCATCGAAGTGTTCCCAATGTAGAATGAGATTCCATACTGCTCTGGTGAACGGACAAAGCAAGGCTAAGTGGAGGCACGTTTCCAACGGGCCGTTGCAAAGGGCGCATCGGCCTTGGTGTGGTCAACCTCTCTTTTGTAGATTATCCGCAGTGAGGATTTTCTCTCGTGCCATGGTCCAGACGAATAGTTTGCACTTGTTTTCAGTGAATGCTTTCCATATGAGATCACTCCAAAATGCTCTGTAGGAACTGCAGAATTGTATTCTGTAGGCCGATCGGGTGGAATAGGCTCCGTTGGCTGTCCATTTCCAGGTAATGGTGTCTGGAGTGCCCGGCGTTAGGTGGATATCTTGCAACCTGATCCATAACGAGATGAATTCCTCCACCTGCGATGCTGTAGTGATCTGGCCCCTCAGAGCGGCGACCCAGCCATTGTTACGGAGCTCAAGATGGATTGACCTATTTTTACATCTCACTAATTCAAATAAACTGGGCGCAAGATGCTTTGGAGCCTCACCGTCCAGCCAGCTGTCATGCCAGAAGCGAGCTTTTTGCCCATCACCAATTGTGACTCTCGTAGATGCATTGAAAAGTGCCCGATCTAGATCGTTGCAGGGAAGCTCCATTCCAGCCCAAGGTTTAGAAGTGTCCACCCAATCTTGCCACAGCCATCTTAAGCGCAATGCCCTGCTGAACTTGTTAAGGTCAGGTATTCCAAGCCCCCCGAGGTCCTTTGGCCTAGTTACTGTCGGCCAATTAACAAGGCAGTGCCCCCCATTGGCGTTTTCCTCTCCTTTCCAGAGAAAGGACCTTCTAATTTTGTCGATGCTTTTTCGAGCCCAAGCCGCCAATGGGAATATCGTTAGATGATAAGTTGGCATTGCTGAGAGAACGAATGAAACCAGGGCGAGGCGACCGGCTCTGTTGAGCCATTTTCCTTTCCATCTAGGCAATCTTTGGCCGATCCACTCGATGAGCGGCTGAACGTGTACCTTCCGTAACGAACGCGTGTGGAGCTACAGGCCAAGGTAACGGCAAGGGAAAGAGCCCCTGATCCCTGCAAAGGAGGTTAGAACATGGTTTAGATCTATCTCGTCGCATCTGATCGGGTGAACGGAGCTCTTTTCCAAATTTATGTGGAGGCACGATATATTCCCAAAGGCCTGGAGAATCACCTTGATCGCATCTATGTCTTCCTTTCGAGGGTTTATAAAAATAGCCGCGTCATCTGCGTATAGGGAGGTTCTCCATCTGGCCGTGGATGAGGGGACCGGGAAGAGGGCGCCCATCTGAGTAGCGAATACAAGAATACGCTGGAGTGGATCCATGGCGAGGATGAAAAGCATTGGCGATAATGGGTCGCCTTGGCGAACCCCCCTGGCGTGGTGGAAGGTCGGTCCTAGCAGGCCGTTGAGCAGCACCCTCCACGTGGCTGTGCGGAAAAGGATGGATACCCATTTACACCATCGTGGGCCGAAGCCAAGAGCGCGTAGGACCTCCAGCAGGTAGCTCCAGTTCACCGTGTCAAAAGCCTTGTGGATATCGAGCTTCATGAAAAGTGTGGGCATCTTTTCCTTGTGCATTTTTCTCACCATTGACTGTACATATAGGAAGTTGTCATGAATACTTCTTTTCTTGATGAACGCACTTTGGCAGTTGGAGACTAAGGAGTTGAGGTGGGGGGCGAGTCTGTTGGCCAGGAGTTTTACAAAATTTTTTGCAAAGCTATGCATGAGGCTAATTGGCCTGTAGTCCGTGATTCTCAAGGCGTCTGTCTTTTTTGGAAGCAAGACGATGTTTGCCGAATTCATTAACTTGAAGCCTTGGGAATGCAGTTGGAAGAGATTGTTGATCGCAGCCAATAAGTCGTCTTTGATTATCTCCCAGCATGCCTTGAAGAAGGCCCCCGTGAAGCCATCAGGCCCCGGGGCTTTCTCGGATGGCATCTCGAGGACAGTACGCCGGACTTCGTCCTGAGTGAATGGTAGCTCCAGCTGCTGTAGGTTTCTTGGAGTATAGCCCAGCGCCTGCCAATTTAAGGACAAGGTCCTTGCTGTAGAGGTGCCCAAGTGCTCGCTGAAATAATCCCCGACCACTTTTTCTTTTTCATCCTGGGAGAAGACTAACCCACCCTCTTTTTGTAGACAGTGAATGTAATTTTTTCTCCGGCGTGCATTGGCTTTCATGTGAAAAAGTTTTGTGTTGGCGTCACCACTGCGGATATAGGTAAGCCTGGACCTCTGCCTCATCCGTGACTTCTCAATTACAGCCAGGCCGGTGCTGCGGGCTTTTAAGCGTTTCCTAAGTTCGTTCTCCTGATCTGAGAGTGGCCTGAGTTCTTGTGCCATTTCTAGCTGAAGGAGGACCTCTTTGGTGATGGCTAGCTGGAGTCTTGTGTTTCCTATTTTCTCTTTCCGCCATTTCTTCAGGCCCTTTGCAAGTCTAGCCATTTTGATGTGTAAACGCTTGATGGGTAGCATGGTGTTGAGTGGTTTCCCCCATTCAGTTTGCACCACTTCGTGGAAGCCTTCCATCTTGGTCCAGAAATTTTCGAGCCGGAAGAAATTGTTGTTGAAATGATCAAGTGCGCCGTGGAGTAGCAGTGGTGTGTGGTCTGACAAGAACGATGTGTATTGTTTCTGACATATCATTAGATTCTTCTGATTCATGAGAATTACTTCATTTGAATCTAATTCCACATTTTTCTGTGTGCATCTGAACAGACGTCCTGCCTTTGTGCTCTGCCGAAGCTTCGAGACTGTAGCCACCATTCAGCGCTACCATTCCCAAATTACAACGCTTACATCTGTATCGTCTCTGAAGGTTTGATGGATTATCCATTTTTTACGCTTCCAGTATTTATTTCATTATCCATTTTTTATGCTTCCAGTATTTGTTTTACTAATAATCCGTCGATGCACTGGAAAACATAAGCACTGATCCAAACGGTAATCTACCAGATCCTGACAGAGGATGATCCGACTCCACCTCACTGTGCCACACATATCGTAAACAAGGATCTATCCGTGTACCTCCAGCTTCGGGGAGCTCTGAACACTGAAGCCGAGCGCGAGAAACTAAGGAGAAAGAGGGAGGATATCCAAAGGCAAGTGTGGTCACAATCTGTCTTCCCAATTCAACCATCTCTGTATCGGACTAGTTTAGCAATTCCACAGTGTGTATTCAGTGGTCTTTTTTTCTATTACCAAAATGCAGGCAACACGACACCTTGTCGCAGAAAATGAATGCTTCGGGCTACCGCAAGAAGGCTCCGCAGAGGAAGCAAGACGAGGATACGAGGAAATTCGCTACTTTGTTGGGGGAACTCGAGATCATCGACGAGGTTGAGAGTAAGCTAGACGCAAACAACTAACGAAGTTAGATGATTGACACATCAGCCTTCTCTTCTGAACGAGCTATACGAATCACTGGCGTAGATTTTGCATGTGTTTGGATGGATGATTTCGTGGAACTCTGACAAAGAAAGTATCTTCAATATGTAAATAGCTTGTCTTACAGTTTCAAAAAAAAAAAAGCTTGTCTTACGGCCCTGTAATTAATAATCTCTGTTATTCATTATTTTGTCAACTGACCTATGTGCCCATCACTATTTTGTCAAATGTTACTACCTCCATTCGTAGGAGTCATTTTGGCCTTATACAGTTAGTCAAATACTATATCACTCTCCTTGTTTCATATGCACTACGTCTTTTTTAAAACGATAAATAATATGGAACGGAGGAAGTAACGTGCTTGACTGTACGCGGAGCCCACCAACTCGCTCACAAAGGTGAATTATGAAAAGGGTAGTTTTGACCGGTCCGCAGAGGAGATTATTAACATTTACATCTAAAAAAGCTCATTTGATATTGTAATTATTGTTTATTGAATAGACTTAGGTTAAATTTAAGATGGTTTGACTTAATACATTTCAAGACGATGCGGGTGACGGTGCAAATGAACATATTGCCGAAGCAGACCCAGATGGCCAGATCCACCACACCCACGCTTCTGGGAGACCTCGAGTATTTCGCACCAGTATCAGGAGTCAATAGGCAATGAGTATATAGGAAATAAAATTCAGAAACAAGTCATTAACATAAGCACTCAGAAAATTCCCCAAGCTCATTAGTCATCAGCCAGGAATAGTTTCCCGCCTGTCCAGAAACAAACTAAACTGCACCAAGCAATATTACACTGCTTTGTAAAAAAAAAAAATTCCCCGAGAGTAGCTCACCTTGGTAAGAGCCACATAATTCTTGATTAGCGAAGGAGCGCAAAAGGTGAGGTAATTCCAGAACCGTGCTGGCCATTTCCGCATGTGGATTGTCAGCATGCTACACGTCGCTGACAGCTTTCTTCAGGGCACCCATGTATGTCAAAGTCTTCTCCACATGAGATCCGTAGTAAAGCGAAAATATTGCCTCTGCTTGAGCGAATGTGGCTGCTGCGCTTGCCCCATCTCCCAGGGACAGCAGAATCGAAACAAGCTTGGTAAGCTCGTGCGCAATGATGATGTGTTTCGGGTGGTACAGCTTCTCGAGGATCTGCAGCATCACAGGGGTCACTTCTTCAGCATAATGCAAAGCATATGGACCTCACCTTTTGCGGAAAGATGTTCCAGATACTCAGAGGGCCCCAGACAAGTAAAAATCCTGAGTGGCAAATGAGGATGAGAAACATGGTTACCTGAATTGATGCTTCACAGTGCTTTCTTGCTCGTTCTTGGTCTCCTACCTTTGCAAAGGCCTCTGCAATTGTGTCTTCGGCCTACATACTTCCACATGTTCATAAGAACACGACTTATGTGTACAGTTGTACACAAGTGCAAGTGGACTTGGATACAGAATTTGAATAAAGACAAATGAGCAACCTCACCTGCGCAAGAGCCTTGCTATATGGGTGCCTCAGCTTCTTGAGTAGTTTTAGGGATTGTAATGCCTCTGTGATGAGAGTCTTGTCTAGCAATGTAAGTTTCTTCAACCTGTCAAGTGCAGTTGTTATCACAATTCCTGGTCTGGATGAAACCCCAAATTTACAATTTCTAAAAGAACTCAAGAAGTTGAGGTAATCAAATTTGAAGTTTCATACGCAATTGTGAAGAACATACCTATTGATGGTAGATTCTTCCCTGTGTGATGTAGCCAGAGCAGACAACACATCAATATGGGATCTACAACTCGTGCAACATCCATGATCTATGTTCAGACTGACACCAATATTTCCTAAAAGAGATTTGGCGACATTCTCCATATCCTTATCAACCTTTGATACATCCTAAACAAAAAGAAACTCATCATCATGTCATCTGTGATCCATCATCATTAAGTACTCCCTCCAGTCACAAGTGATGTTTTGAAGTTATCTTAAGTCAACCATTCAAAATTTTGATTGCATATTTCTTTTTATATGTTGAGTTTGGATATTTAAAAATAACACGAGTAGATTTGTCAGGTGTCACGAAATATTTAGTGTCATAAAAGTAAACAAATTTGCTTTGATTCATAAATATTCTGTAGCAAAAGTAGTATTCAAAGTTGTGTTTTGAAGACCATGTTAAAGTCTAAAAGGTAACTTATTTGTGACTAGAGGAGTAAATGAGAAGATATTTAAAAAAACCATAGTATACGAAAATAACCGTACAGGCAATGATAGTTTGCAGACATAAGATCCTCCAAGGGAAACATTCACAAAATTCTCTTTGGACCTGTAGTAAGTTGATTCTGATATGGCACCAAGGCAGTTGTTTTGTGGACAACAAAATGAATTCAAAACAAGGTCTGATAGATTTAGTTCTGAGCAACTTGAACATTGACAACTGAAGTAGTAATTCTCTTGAAGTGACTTCTGTCTCTCTGAAAGTTGCATCTCACCAACCTAGAAATCAGAAGCATGAAAAGTTCAAAGCATAAGGCATTCATCTCTGCACCAGAGAGAGATGGAGGAAACTGTGTGTGTGTGTGTGTGTGTGGGTGGGGGGGGGTCAGTGAAACCTGTGGACCATATGACAGTTCAACTGGGCTCCCGGATTTTATAAATTCTGTAGTTCTCAGCACGAGCGCACGTGAAAGAAAATATGCATGTACATTGGGCTGACATGAGTGATTGAACAGGCTACCAGATACATAAACAGCTTGAGCAACCCTGACCTGACAGTGAGCAAACAAAACACAAGACAAAGGTTACAGAGCACAAGACCACAATTTAGAGCGAGGCGCCTTTTATGCCAATAAACCAGCCTCATATACTGTGATTACAGTTACTTGATAATTGATACAATATTTTTTTAATAACTTTGAATTCCTCTTTCTCCGTTTTTTTAATCTAATCCAGTATTGAGCTTCTGGGTTGGAATTGTGTTCTATCAGCGAGAGATAACGCACAATGATTAACAGGAACCAAACGACCTTTTGCAGCTCTAATAGCTGGATGATAGATTGCTCCCAGTCCCAGAAAAAATTACAGAAAGTATAAAAAGACAGACCTGCTCCACACCACACATGTTTGCACCTTCAGCTCCAGAAACACCTGTATTTACTGTGAGCTCTGGGCTTCCATCCACCGACCTCACTCGGACAATAGCAATTGAATTGACTTTAATTTGAAATATCAAAAGAACCAGCTGTAGAGGATAATCAACACATGAGTTTCTTCTTTCCCAAAATAAAATGTGAATGTGATACTCTATAATTTTTGTATGCCTCAGGGAAAAAGTTTGTAGGGAATTGCAGTATATAGGAAACCATAGTAACGAGAAACAAAACCATGGTATAGATAAGAACATCCTTGAACCCAAGTACCATAGGGGTATCTGACTGAAGCTTGAGTTCCAAGCTTGCCTGATTTCTTGTCTGACTGGCATGAGGGCAACCAGTGGGCTTTAGATAAGACGCTAGACACAGTTGCAGACTTGCATTGCGGGATGGCTAGTGATCTAAAGGCTATTTACAGTCGTTGAAGACTGACTATATAACAGTAATCCTCATTGATTATGCTTTTCTTCCATATTTTGTTTGGTTTGATGTGTTTACTTAGTTTGCAAGTCAAAGACCTTTTCGTTCTGTACCACTTTTTTAAAAATGGAATGACACAAATTCTTGCATGTTAAAAAAATGGCTTTCCAGGTATAAAAGCAAATAAAAAATGTGCTAAAGAGGACTACACAGAAGGAAGTTCAATAAATACTGGTATTGTTGAGATGAGATTAAGGTTACTGAGGAAAATGAAACTGGCAATCTCCAAGGAGGACTGGTTATCTCCATCAAAACAGTATGGATCAAGACATTTGATAACAATTAGCATTGTGACAAATTTATATAATAATTCAAAAACCTGGAACTCAAATTGCCATCAATTTTAGATTTCAGACCATACTCATTAACCTGGTATATTAGAACGATAATCTCTGAAGATAAATGTCATATATACCTGTGATAAAGAATCTTCTGTCCACAAAAGGTCTGATCTATAATAATTTTGGAGGCATAACGATAGGACAATTGCATATATCTGTGATTCCAACTTGTTGGCAGGAGAATGTTGATCATAATGGTGAACTAGATCCTGCAATTGCCAACTTAGCTCATTAATTCCTGATATGATATCATCTATGCCATAACATTTGGGTGCTAACAGCATAAGAGAATGTCAACCTAATTTAGAAATGAGGTACTTTACCAAATTTGGGCCGGAGATAGCAAAACTCTTTCCAGACAGCATCATTTTTTCTATGCTGCGTGCCATTATTCGTCCAGCTAAAACTACATCAGTTGGTAAAACAGCTGCCCAATTGGCACCTCCACATTCATGCTTGTGTTCAGCAAATAGCTTAGATCTTGGAGACTTGCAACTAGTAGAAGTTATACTCAGGTTTGCAATACTTGTTGAATATCCAAGATGAGTATCTTCATCACAAGAAATATCACCTACGGATTGCTCCTGGCACCTTTTTGAACAGTAAATTGGTATTGTACATGAAGGACAGAATACAACATCTGCTGGAGTTTCACTGAAGCAAAAGTGGCAGTGTATTTCACGGGAAGATTTCATGATAATCTGCATTCAACTGTTGCAAGTAAGAAACACACAAACCTTCAGTTCATGCACACAAACTGAAATTAGAAGCAATAATTATTCATCTAGTTGAGGAAAAACAGGTTCATAGACATGACATAAACACCAGACCTCAGAAAGCAATCTCGTATGCACATTAAACAAATATTTAGGGCCATTCATATATGCAAATTGTAGTGGCTTCAGCGATACATACTATAGGAAGACGGAGAAATGTCATTTGGCATAAACAGAGATGGGTCTTAATTAATACCGCGGCAAGAGGATCCTCGACGTGAATCAACGAAGCTGGGGGGATATCATCTGTAGAAGCCATTCCTCTACCTTTGTTTGGTGTTGAGATACTTTCTATAACAACCTTATGAGGTTGTCCTGTCAGTTAGTCAAATAATATCTGTCACTAAGTACGCATCCAACAGAAGAAAGTAGTATGGACTGCACATAAGAAGTTCTAACCTGCAAGAGGCAAATATTCATCCTTGCTATCACAGTTTGATGTCCCAGCTTCATTGACACTTTCATGCTTTTGCAAAATCAACTTTAGCTCTTGTTCTATGTTATTCTTCCCTGAAGAAGTCACTTCCAGGCTCAATGCAACCTCTAAATCATGTACTGCAGATGAATAATTCTTAAGCGCTGTTTTTACCATTCCCTTCCTGTACCATGCCTGAAATGCAGAAACAGGCGAAATGAAAAGAGTAACCTCCATGCTTTTGCTTGAATTCTTCAAAACAGAGACCTCAGTATAATTATGTGAAACAGCAATGTCATGCCTTAGAATAATTAGGTGAAATGGTTATGGCCCTGTCACAATCCCTTAGAGATTCTTTGAACAGACCTAATTTCTGCATAGTTGAGAAGAATGATTAGAATACAGAAACTCTTCAGCCAAAAGTACAAAGTAATATTATTTCCAGTGACAGAAATAAATAGTAGCAACTCCGCCTATGGTGGGGCGCCTTTGGTGTCCCAGCATAGCAGATCCCAAGCCCTGGTAAAGGGGGAGGGTTGTGTTAGGCGCGGCGAGCCAATGTAAAAACTTAGCCACTTTAATGGAGATGAAACACAAAAGAATCCTGTTGGGGCGTAACCCTCTTAGCGACGCGCCATGTCAGAACCCGGGTATGGTGTTAAATGAGCAAGGGCCGGGTCGTCAACCCCTTGACGCGTGCCGTGTCGCGATCTGGACACGGTGTCAAGTGAGCAAGGATCGGGTCGTCCCATCCTTAGTGGCGCGCTACATCGGCGCCCGGGTGTGGTGCAAAATGAGCAAGGGTCTTCACACCTACCTCGGCGGGTGCGAAGGATAAGGAAGCTAGTCGAGCCAAATAGGATCCATTTAGGTAGCTAGAATGTAGGGTCCCTTACAGGTAAGTTAAGAGCGTTAGTGGACACAGCGGTTAGGAGGCGTGTAAATATCTTATGCGTCCAAGAGACTAAATGGAAGGGGCAGAAGGCGAAGGAGGTGGACAATACCGGCTTCAAGCTCTGGTACACAGGGCAACTTCAAATAAAAATGGAGTAGGAGTTTTGATTGATAAGAGCCTAAACGATGGTGTGGTGGAGGTGAGAAGGCAAAGGGATAGGATCATCTTAGTTAAACTTGTCATTAGTGATATGGTCTTAAACGTAATTAGTGCGTATACCCCCAAGTAGACCATGATGAGAGTGCTAAGCGGCTTTTCTGGAAAAACTTAGATCGCTTGGTTAGAGCTGTCCCTAGTAGCGAGAAGCATTTTATAGGAGGTGATCTTAATGGCCATGTAGGTACATCAAGTGCAGGTTTCGAGGCGGTTTATGGGGGTTTCGGATATGGTAGTAGGAACTAGGAGGGAGAGGAAGTCTTAGACTTCGCCATAGCTTTTGATCTGATGATAGCTAACACTTTCTTCCGTAAGAGACAGTCCCATTTAGTGACCTTTAGTACCGACCAATACTCTAGTCAAATCGACTTTGTCCTTACAAGGGAGGGATAAACGAACATGCGTGGACTGTAAGGTGATACCTGGAGAATGTGTGGTCGCTCAACACAAGTTGGTGGTGGCTGACTTCCGCTTTCCGGTGCACGCTCGTGGGAACAAACAAGCTAGGGTTGCTAGAACGAAGTGGTGGAAATTAGAAGGGGAGGCATCAAAGGTTTTTAAGAAAAATGTCATTGAAGAAGGCCCTTGGAATGATGAAGGCGATGCAAACAGCATGTGGGAGAAGATTGCAACATGCGTTCGGAAGGTTGCTTCAGAGGTGCTTTGAGTGACCAAAGGGAGCGGATGCGACTCGAAAGACACTTGGTGGTGGAATGAAGGTATGCAAAAGGCTATTAAGGAAAAGGAGTGCTATAAGCGCTTGTATCATGACAGGTGTGTAAACAACATAAATAAGTACAAGGTGGCAAAGAAGACTGTAAAACGAGCGGTGAGTGAGACAAATTGACGGGCCTATGGGGACCTTTACCGACATTTGAATACGAAGGAAGAAGAGAATGACATTTATAGGATGGCTAGGGCTCGCGACAGGAAGACAAGAGACTTCAACCAAGTGCATAAAGGATGAGAGGGGGTAGCTCTTGGTGAAGGAGGATGAGATCAGACATAGATGGCAAGAGTATTTTGATAAATTGTTCAATGGTGAGAACGAGAACAACACCGTTCAGCTGGACGACTCGTTTGATGACACTAACATGCGCTTTGTGTGGAGGATTCAAGAATCAGAGGTCAGAGAAGCCTTGAAAAGGATGAAAAGGGCAAAGCGATGGGTCCTGATGGTATCCCAATCAAGGTGTGGAGATGTCTCGGGGATATAGCTATAGTATGGCTAACCAAAATGTTCAACAATATTTTTTGATCGAACAAGATGCCTGAGGAGTGGAGAAGAAGCATATTGGTACCAATCTACAAGAAGAAGGGAGATATCCAAAGTTGTACTAATTATCGGGGAATTAAGTTGATGAGCCACACTATGAAGTTATGGGAGAGAGTCATCGAGCCGCGCCTGCGAGGAACGACGCAGATATCAACAAACCAATTTGGTTTCATGCCCGGAAGGTCAACCACAGAAGCAATCTTCTTAATAAGACAGATTATGGAGCGGTTTAGAGAGCAGAAGAAGGACCTCCACTTGGTTTTCATTGACTTAGAGAAGGCTTATGACAAGATACCAAGAAATGTTATGTGGTGGTCTTTGGACAAACATAAAGTCACATCAAAGTACGTAACTCTCGTCAAGGACATGTACAACAATGTTGTGACTAGTGTTCAAACAAACGATGGTAATACAGATTACTTCCCGATTAAAACTGGACTTCATCAAGGGTCAGCCTTAAGCCCGTATCTCTTTGCCTTGGTAATGGATGAGGTTACCAGGAACATACAAGGGGATATCCATTGGTGTATGTTGTTCGCTGATGATGTAGTGTTAGTGGACGAAAACCAGGCGGGAGTAAATAGGAAACTAGAGTTATGGCGGCAGACCCTTGAGTCTAAAGATTTTAGATTGAGCAGAACTAAAATCGAATACATGAGATGCGACTTTGGCGGAGTTGTACAGGAGGAGGGAGATGTGAGTTTGGAAGGTCAAGTAGTGCATAAGAAGGACGCCTTTCGGTATTTGGGATCGATGCTACAGAGGGATGGAGATATTGATGCGGACGTTAGCCATAGAATCAAAGCAGGGTGGATCAAGTGGCGATAAGCTTCTGGCATTCTCTGTGACAAGAGGGTACTATAAAAGCTAAAAGGCAAGTTCTATAGAACGGCGATTAGACCGGCTATGTTGTATGGAGCAGAATGTTGGCCTACAAAGATTCGACATGTTCAACAACTGAGTGTTGCAGAAATGCGTATGTTGCGATGGATTTGCGGTCACACAAGAATGGACCGAGTTCGGAACGATGATATACGTGATCGCCTAGAGGTAGCACCAATTGAAGAAAAGCTTGTCCAATATCGGTTGAGGTGGTTTGGCCATGTTCAAAGGAGACCTCCAAAGGCACCAGTGCATTGTGGAGTCCTAAGTCAAGCTAATAATATGAGGAGAGGTAGAGGAAGACCGAAATTGACATGGGGGAGAGAATAAAAAGATTTGAAAGCTTGAGATATACCTAAAGATCTATGTTTGAATAGGAGTACTTGGAAAGCAGCTATTGAAGTGCCTGAACCGTGACTTAGGGCTCTTGGTGGGTTTCAACTCTAGCCTACCCCAACTTGCTTGGGACTGAAAGGCTATATTGTTGTTGTTGTTGTTGTTGTACAGAAATAAATAGTAGCAGAAAACACATTTAGTACATCCACTCCAAGCTTTTCAATATTTTTCACAGATCTTAACCAACAGTCTCTAAAGCTTTGTGGAACTGTGGGTATAGACTTGTTCTGCTATCCACCTGCCACAAGTATATCTTCACGTCCTATTTTCAGCATAATAGACTCAAATACTTATTAAACTCGACACTAAAAAAGGGCACAAATTTGTCCGCGTGTTCATATTCTGCAAACAAGTAAACGTAAGACTAACATGCATGGTGGAGGCTCGATTGACATATATTGCAGATACCAACTTCACATCCATGCCATCCGAATTAATCGGGACATGACGCAATGCCTGCAAGATATAATTCAAACAATCTGTTATTATCATGATAGAATATTCATCAATCAGCCACAGCAAAATTACCATTCCAAATGGATGGATGGGGATCGGTTGTGTAAATATGCCACTATTTTAACAATCTAACTGACCACAAACTTCAATGGTGAAAAATACAATTTCTTCTGAACTTGGTAGCTGCCCACAAACTTCAATTCTAGGATGACTGCAGATGTAGCTGCTTAACTTTAGTGTTACAACAGGTGAAAAATGTAATCAGGGGCAGAGCCAGGACAGGTGCTGTCCGTGCTGCAGCACCCCCTGAGCCCATGAATGTCTAAGCAATCCATGTATTTTCAGGAGCCTAAGAACAGTTGGGAAGTTAAATTCGAATGTTATAACACCGATCTAGCTAGAATGTAAGCATAAAGCACCTCCTTTCAAACAGTCATGGCTTTCATAAATAAATAAATAAATAAATAAAAAGAGTCATGGATCCGCCCCTGAATGTAATCAGAGCTACAGAGACATCTGCTTTTGAAGTGTTACATCCAAAAGATTGTATATTTGGTGTGAAACACTGAAACAATACACTCATTTAAGCTCACCATCCAATTCCAATGTAGCGATATTTATCGTTTCTTTCTGTAATTCTTTTAACTGTCCCGTTGATATGCTTTCTTGGCACAGCAACAAACAAAGATGTTCAATTTAAGAACCACCTGGCTCTTATTTATAATATCAATCAAGTTTACAGCCGTTATATAATTTCGACCAACCAAAGTGAAAATTCAATCCGCATGTTCCAAATAAGTAGGTGGACGCAAACCTGCGAATAGTACCGGAGAGCTTGCCCAAACTCCCTCCTTGAGAAGCACGCATTACCGTGGCCCTTGAACTCTACAGCCTTCACCGTGTCTTTGCGGCACAGCGCAAGTTCGGGGTCGGTCAGCTCTTGCATAACCTTGCAGTCGGAAACAGCCATTCAGAACCAGCGACCTAGCACCCAAACTCAGGCCTCCTGGGGTAGAGCCGTGGCATCGAGAAACTAAAGGGGCGGGGGGGCGCGAGGGTTACCTGGTGGAAGAGGGGAAGGGTGTGGAAGAAGGCGAACAGGCGAGAGGAGGTGGCCGGGAGGTCGGCAGCCGTGCCCTCGCCGACGGCCCGCCGGAGTTCGGTCGGCACCGCCGATTTGAGCCGCTCCATGGAGAGCCCGTGGAGGCGGCCGGAGGGAGAGTGTGGATTGGTGACGTCAGCTTTAAAACCCAGTGGCAGACTTTTGGGGAGAGCTTTTTTCTTTTTGGTAAGGTTTATTATAGAGAAAATATGCGAGGGCGACCCATGTGTCCATTTGGCTATAGGTGTAAGACAAGTTGTAGATGTTAGTGGCTTATGATATGCTTTATGAGTCAGAAGCAATTCGAATATCACCATCTTATGGAATTGGTCATTTATAATACAAACACCTCATGGCTGTGCTTTTGCCTTATTGCGAAGTTGACCTTTGACTGGGTTAGTTACCACCCGTTTTAGCTGGATATTTCTTTATATATATATATATATATATATATATATATATATATATATATATATATATATATATGCACACAGCATACAGCTAGCATTCGCTCCCTGTCCTGGTGTGAATGTTACTTTTTGGTCATCCCCAGCTGGTTTGAGTTCATTTGATATTTGATTTAAGTGATGCTGAATCATTATAAATTGTTATTATGAACTCATCTTTGTTTCTGTAACCTTTACTTTATGATCTGTCTGTCACTCTGTCTTGTGTGCTGACAACAACAGCTAGTGCAGTGGTGCATGATGTGGTGGTTGATTTTTTCTCTCTTTTGCATCTGTATCTTTTTGCCAATAATTAGGACACTGAATTATGCACTCTCTTTTTTGTTTCTAGATTTAACAGTCGTATTTTATTGATGTCCAGACTACATAAAAGTTAGTTTGATGAGCTTCACAATGATGGCTTGAAAATTGAAACAAAGTTTTATTTCTTTTACTTAACAATAACAATTTAGGAAATACTTGTAATCTATTTTTGTTCAGCTATTTTCTAGTTATGTCTTTTGTCCTTTTAGTTACATAGATATGTGTTGGGATAAAATCTACTCAGTCTTGTAGCTGGCATTCATAATCACTATTTTAACCCTTTCTTTACACTGCTCTTAGTCCTAGTTGAATCCTCTGTGATCTATCTAACAACAATTTATATATAGCAGATCCTTCCCGTGGCGAGCGGCCACGGTGCCCGAGCACTCCGGCCTCACCCTGGTGCATCTCGGCTAGTACTTCCCCCAGGTGGCTGATCTGATTGGACACTTCTCCTGGTGAGCTACTCTTCAGATTTTGCTACTAAATTCTCATGCTAGTGCAAATTGGTTCATTTGTTAGGAATTAGTAGCGCAACACCATGTTTCAGGCTTTCAGTCATTCAGTGACAATGGTTTTTAGGTCTGCTTCCGCTATTTGGCATCTTGCCAGACTGGTTTGTGCAGTTTTTTTAATGGCTAGCAAGTACCCCTTGCTAGAGCTATTTCCTCCATTGCTCATTTAAACTGTCAACAAATTGGTTGCTGCTCTGCCCTCTTCCCTATACTCTTAGAAACTACTACTGCTACCAGCTGGCTGCTAGCTACTCTCCTAGACTACTCTACTGAACTACTACTACTCTACTTGCTACTCCTACTACTACTAGCTGGCTGCTAGCTACTCTCAACAAATTGGCTAGCAAGTACCCCTTGCTGGAGCTATTTCCTTCATTGCTCATTTAAACTGTCAACAAATTGGCTTTATGTCAACATGGTAGTACTGATGCTTGTATTCTATCATATTGTTCTTATTAATGGCTTTATTTCCTGGAACACATTGGTCGTTGCTCTTAACTAATCACCGGGTCGCTACTTCTATACTCTTGTCCTACTACTACTACTACTACTACTGTTGTTGTTGTTTGTTCTTTGCCATCGTTTCTACTACTACTCTATACTACTCTAGTGTTGGTCACATTCTCTGCCTTTTCCCTATACTCTTAGAAACTACTATCGCTACCACCGGTCGCTAGCTACTCTACTTGTCGCTAGCTACTCTCCTAGACTACTCTCTTGAACTACTACTACTCTACTTGCTACTACTAGCTACTCCTACTACTACTAGCTGGCTGCTAGCTACTCTCCTAGACTACTCTACTGAACTAAGTTACTAGATTTTGATCTGCAGGGGTCTTCCAAACACGTGGCAGCAGTCAACTGTTTTTTGGTTATTTTTCCTATCCTCTATGTTTGGGAAGCAGCAGCTGCTTATTTTTACACTTTTTCCTCTCTATGTTTATTAAGCAGCTGTTGCTTTTTTTTTGCCAAATCTCCCCTCTCCTCTCCTCTCCTTTGTTTTGCCGATGATGAAATTGTCTAAGTCCATACATTATATGGAATATGAGCTGATGATCAAAAACTTGTGAGGAACTTGGCATCATTAGCAGCCGCCCCTACATTACATTCTCCCATCTTCTCTGTTATGATGCCTTGATGCTCTAAGTTCAAGATCAGATGATGATTGACATATTTCTGAGGCCTCTACTACTGTTACTTCTCATTTTTTATATATTGTTGTTTTATAGGACTACTTTTGTTTATAGACCTTTTTTATTTCTTATACTTCTCACGTACCTAAAGCACACTTTCTTGCATCTATTAGAACAAAGTGTGAAATAATGTCGCGGATACCAGACAGTGCAGCCCGATGCCCCGAGCATGATGAGCAGCAAGCACTAGAGGACCAGCTAACTCAGGACCAGTTCGATAATGAGTTAGAAAAGGATCTAGAAGTGATGCTTACTCAGGAGCAGTGTGACGAGGAGGAAAAGGGAGCAGAAGGAAGAACAGGAGAGGCTACTGAAGGTGAAGAAGAAGAGGATGATGATGATGACTCAGAAGAGGGATATGTAAGTCCCGAGGATCCTTTCCCACGTGAAGCCAGAAGGAGACCAACGGAGGAAGATTTGGACAAGGACTTTGACCCGAATGAGGAGGTAGGGAAAAAGCCTTAGCTTGTAAATTTTGCTAAAGCTTTGGCTGTGTTACCTCTGCTAACACTTTGACCTGTCGTATATACAGGTCCCTCCTGAAACTCAGAAAAGACGACGTCGATGTCCGCGACATCTTGCTGGACAAGACAGAGTAGAGGAAAGGAGAGCAGAGGCAACAGCCACAGAGACAGATCATGATGCCTCTGCTCCACAACCTGAAGACACAACCACGACTACCAAGCCTAAGAGGAAACGAGGGGATAGAAAAGTAAATCTATATCCAGATAAGCCATGCTATGTGATAACGGAGGTCGGGCCAGCAGGGGATGTCCTTGAGCCGAAGGAATTAAGAGGATGATTCCGTAATGTGATCGGGGCCCTAGTAAGAGATAAATTGAACCTAACAATCCCTAACTGAAAAGAGGTACCAGAGAACAAAAAGAATGAACTATGGGATAGGAAGCTGAGGGTCAATTTTAGATTTTCGGAGGGTAAGCACGAACTGGTAAAAAAATACTTTTAGGATGATGGGAGAGGCATTCCGACGTTGGAGGTCAGAGCTCAACACGAAGTATATCCAAAAGGGGTTAACTCTCTTCAAAGAGTTCAGCAAAATAACTCCTAGTCAATGGGAGGAGCTCGTGGCTCAGAAGACTAAACCGGAGGCATTGGAGCTCAGTGCCCGTAACACCGAGTTAGCGAAGAGGAACAAACACCACCATCATTTAGGCCCCGGTGGCTACTATGCCAAGGAATAACAGTTTAGGAAGATGGACGAAGAGGCCGCAGCTGCTGGGAATATCGATGTGACGAATCTAAAGGTACACTCAAGGAACTGGATATATGCGAGGAGTACAGAATCATCCGGCAGTAATCTTAAGTTTGATAAGCCGAAGACCCAAGAGGCGGTATCAAGGATACTGAAATATGCTGAAGATAAGGAGATTGGCTCATTCAATCCTTCCAGAGAGAGGGATGAGCTTAGCCTTGGCTTGGGAAACAAGGAGCACACAGGCCGCACCAGGGGGCTAGGGAAAAGAACGACCTGGAAGCAAGGATTCGAAGAGGACAAGCATATGTACAAGAAACATGGCCGAGACCGGGAGACTAGTCTTGAGCTCCAAGTGAAAGCTCTAGTTGCGAAGGCGCTGGAGGAGCAAGGACTGTCTACGGAGCCACGGATATTAGTGACGCCGCCGGGAGAACTGGCATTAGTTGGCAGCCCTCCGAAAGTTCCTAGCAGCCAAGGTCCCACTACAGCCACAACCTCCGTCGATCGCATATGGGAACCAACTAGTTGCACCTTGGTGTTTCTCAGCGGCCGACAGAACACTATGATAGAGGTGGCAATGGGTGTGGCACATCCTCCTGGTGGCTTACACCACAATAATAAAATACCGCCGGACTACACTAGGGTCGAGGTGCATACCGTGAAGCCCGAGTTCATGCAGTGGAGGATAGACTACGCAACTCCCGAGGGGCTAGTGTTACTCGGAGACGTTATTGGGCAGTTTATCCTCTGGCACAAACGGGACATTATATTGACTGCTTCTTCGCCGCCTCCCCCTCTCCTAAATTTGGAGCGAGTTGTTGAGGTTGGAGAGATATTTTCACCGTCTCGTGACCACCACATACATGAGATGCCACATTCTTCCCCGCCTCCTAGCGAGCATGTGCCTGATGAGATGCCACAACCTTCTCCAGCTCGTACCAAGCAAGTGCATGATGAGATGCCACAGTCTTCTCAATAAGCACAGCCGATATATGAACAACGAGTGTCTCCTGAAGAAGGTGATGCACAAGAAGACGAGGACGTGCCTGAATGGGAACTTCGAAAGAAGATTCCAATCAACATAAGGCCAATTTATGTTCCGATGAAAGACGTCTCGTCGGTGTCCAAGTGGTATTCCCATGACCAGTTCAAGCCTGAGAACCAAGTTAAAAAAGTCCCATCACAGGGTTCTAAGGAGGCCGTAACTAGCAAACTCCACCAAATTGCAAAGCAGTATCCAAATGTTGATGCCATCAAATAGTCAAAGGATTGCCCGAAAACATATGAAAGAGGCAAGCCCTTCATACCAAACCGGAACATCCAGCGCCTACCACTTGGAATGAGAAGGTTCCATGATTGGTACTTGCGTGTTCTCCCAACGAGCATAGATCTCGTATAAGCATGCTTCCCCACCGGCACATTTGGAAGCCCAGCCGAGAAAATTGTCTTTGACTTCAATGACATGCACACATGCTTTCACCTGGGAGAAATGGAGATGAATCTAATTCGCACGTGGTACTTGTAAGTCCTTGTCCTCTCGATATGATATGAATGTAATCTTTGAATTTTGTTGTAACTTACCAACGCCGTGATTTGTAGAATGCAAGTGCATATTGTCAAACAAATGCCAAGTCTGAAAGCTGGGTATGTAGACCCTCAACCTATAGCCCAAACAAATTTTAATTACCCTAAACAATGGACACTGGATGCCAAAGAGCTAGCTGCTGCAAAGACTCTTCGGGGGGAAAGAGCGCATCCGTACGGCGAAACTAAAGGAAGAGTCCCTTAAGGTTGCGGCATACATTGCTCTGGCTTTCAAAAATCTACAACAACACTCTACTATATGGCTACCATACAACTTTGAGTAAGTTCAACTATATACTTAAAGCTTTGTTCAATATATTTTATTCGATGCAAAAGAGCTTATCTAGTTCTATGATTAAATCTATACAGCAACGACTGGATTTGTATAGCCGTCGATGTCGGGAGGAGCATGGCATGGGTCTTCGATTCAATAGATAAGGACCCGGCGACATACAAAGACTTCATATCGATTCTCAAGACGTATACATATCGACAATCCTCATTAACTTATATGTTTGTATACATACTTGTAACGTTCACTTATGGATACTAACAAGTTGTATTTGCTAAAATAATTCGAACAGGGCATTTAGGTTCTATGTCACTCATCATCACGGAAGGCATGATCCAGCAAGGAAGGAAAAGCTGGCTATAAAAACACTATGTGCGGTAAGTGTAACTTACTTCTTCAGTAATTCGTTACATGGATGTTAAAAGCATTACCTAACATTTTCATATGCAAAACACACAGTGCCCCAAGCAGAGGCCTGGGAGTGTACATTGTGGATACTATATATGTTCTATGATGAGTAACACCAGTGCTTACAGAAGACACCCCTTAAGTAAGTTTGAACCTCTTCATCAGTAGTATAAAAACTTCGTACATGGTATGAAATACTAAATTCAAAACTTGATCTCTTGTAGTGGAGAGAAGAGAAATGAATGAAAAAAGACTCATACAAGGATGACCAACTCTTAGAGCTCATCGGTGACCTTTGCAACTTCATATTGGACCAGATTGTACACGTCAAAGGCGCCTACCATGATCGAGAGTCTGACTTAGGTAGAAATCCTCAGTACCAACACCTTCGTGAGACTGAAAGGCTAGCTCTAGGACGTTGATAACAATGTGTATATTTAATGATGAATTGTATATATTCTTATGAATTGGACTTGTAATTGTAGTTTATATAATACTATTGTGCTTGTAGTCGCGTTCGGAACATTGGTCATGAGGCGTTCGGCAACGCGAACGCGGTTCGGAACGTTGGTCGCGGGGCGTTCGGCAACGCGAACGTTGGTCGCGCGGCGTTCAGCAACGCGAACGCTGTATGGAATACGCGGAAACAAACAGTTTTGGTCAAATTTGAATTATAAATTTAAATTTTTTTGACAGGAAAACGTACTGTAGGGGCGGTTCTAGATTGAACCGCCCCTATAAACAAGTATTATAGAGGCGGCTGGCACTACAGCCGCCCCTATAAATCGATTTGTAGGGGCGGCTAGTGATTGAGCCGCCCCTACAAATTTGTAGGAGCGGCTGGTAATACGAACCGTCCCTACAGATCGATTTGTAAGGATGGCTCAATCACCAGCCGCCCCTACAAATCGATTTGTAGGGACGGCCTAGGAACCGTCCCTACAAATACATAATTTGTAGGGACGGGTCGGTAGGGGCGGCGGGCCAAACCGCCCCTACAAAGGGTTACCAGCCGCCTCTAAAAATGCTTTTTGTAGTTGTGATTCGAAGTCTTCACTGATTTTTGATTGGTTAGCGTTTCCTTCAAAGCTTTCTATTTATGAGGTCCCTATGCATTTGCAGCCATCTTCTCTCTTGTACCTTTGAGCATCCTTCCATTTCCATACCTCGTGAGAGCAGAGCATCATACATTCATTCCTCAGGAACTCAATCCACTCAATGGGTGATGCTTTACTCTCAGCCTTTCTGCAAGCCCTTTTCAGGCCATCGCAGAATTTTTGAAGGAGGAGCAGTCTGAACATCATCTTGAGGAAAGGAGGGAACATATGATTTCTCAACTGGACATGATTCAAGCTACCCTTGGAATAGCTGAGAAGAAGACACAGCTTTCTGAGTCAGAGGAAGCGTTCTTTGCCAGCCTGAAAGATGCTAGCTACCATGGGACGGAGGCATTGGATGAGTACTACTACGAAGTTCAACGCCGCAAGGTGATCCACCATTTTGCCAATCTGCGTAATAGCCCTGTAACTTCTGTCTTGAATCCTCTACGTGTACAGTTTAGGCATGACATGGAAAAGAAGATTAAGGATTTCGCCGAGAGAATTGATAGTATCAGAAATATACCAGAAATGTACTCGGCCTTCCAAGCACGTGGTGGTGGGCATGAGCCGACCTCCCTGCTTCCTCCAACCGTGGTGTGTGGTCGACATGATGATCAGGAGAAGATTCTAGAGATGCTTCTTCAATCTGATCTGAAGCCCACCAATGTTGCAGCAGTCTTGCCAATAGTGGGGGAGACTTATATTGGGAAGACAACTGTGGCTCAGTTAGTCCTCAATGCCGAGCGTGTATCGAAGCACTTTGAGTTGAAGCTGTGGGTTCATGTGTCACATGAGTTCAATATAGAAAGGATCACTTCATCTATCATAGAATCCATAGAAGGCCTTCCATTTCAATGTGATAACCTCAACACGCTCCATACGAGGCTGGAACGGCTGTTGCGAGGAAGAAGGTACCTCCTTGTCCTGGATGACTACTGGAATGAGAACTGGCAGGACTGGGATAAACTCAAACGTTCATTTCTCAGCGGTGATCCAGGAAGCAAGATCATAGTGACAACAAGGAGTGAAAATGTTGCTCGACTTCTTGGTACATTGGGTTTGGGTCCACTTAAGTTGCAACATCTAAAAGAAGAGGACTGCTTGTCATTATTCAGCCAGTGCGCCCAAGGCACAGAGCATCAAGCACATAATTCTGGAAATGTCCTAGACACAAGGTACTTTTTAGATTCTCGCTACAACTTTACTTTATTTTGTAACAGAAAAAATGTAAACGTATTTTGAGTAGAACAATCAGAAATGTAAAAAATTAGGCACCTGATAATCTCTCTGTTATTTGCAACAGTCCAGCAAGATAGTTCAGGGTAGTAAAAGGACTTCTTCCTTTTATAGATCATGTGTGGCATTATGCATTTATACTTCAATTGTGTTACGACTTACAACAACGTTTGTTTTGGCAGACTGAAGGAAGAAGTTTTACGGAAGTGCAAGGGTGTACCCTTCATAGCAGCAAGTTTAGGACACACCATTAGACTGCGCCAGGAGAACGACAGAAGCAAGTGGGTAGATATTTTGCGAGAGGAGAAATGGGATTCCAGTACCAGTCATTTCAACAAAGCCCTACGACTGAGCTATGTAGAGCTAGATTACCATCTCAAGCCTTGTTTTGCATACAGCTCCATTATTCCAAAAAAGTTTCAGTTTGATAAGCAATGGCTTATCAAGCATTGGATGGCTCAGGGCTTTATACCTGACACCAGCGACGAAACAATTGAGGACACTGGAAGAGCTTACTTCAGATCTTTAGTTAGTCAATCTTTTTTCCAGATAAGACATGTTGACCGCACTGGAGAAGAACACAGATACATCTTGTCAGAAATGATGCACGATCTTGCTTCACATGTCTCAGGTGCGGACTGTGGAAGTTATGTGATGGGACAACCTTACAACATTCCAGAGAGAGTCCGGCATTTAACAGTAGTCTTCAACAAGGATGTGAGTGAAGACATGTTTCAGGTGATTTCCTGTGGCAAGTTCTTGCACACATTGATAGCTTTGGGTGGTTCTGAGGATTTGAATCTAAAGATCCCTGATGACATTGATAAGAAATATACAAGGCTACGAGCTTTAGATCTAAGTCATTTTGGTGTAACTATTCTGCCTAAATCGATAGGAAAACTGAAGCATCTTCGGTGTCTCCAGCTTCAAGGCACCAAGATCAAATGCTTACCCGAGTCAATTTGTGTCCTATACAATCTCCAAACACTGGGACTCAGAAACTGTTATGATCTGGAAGAGTTGCCACATGATTTAAAGAGCCTTTGCAAGCTAAGTCATATTGATCTGCTAATGACTCGTGATCCTCGCCACAATGTCTGCAGCTTGAGGTGTATGCCCAAGGATATAGGGTTGCTGACGAATCTTCAAACCCTGTCAAGATTCGTCATAAGCGAGAGGTCTATTGTCCACACCCACAGAGGTGGTATAGGGGAGTTGGCCAAGTTGAACGATCTCCGTGGGGAACTTCTCATTTCAAATATGCATCTTGTTAAGGATGTGCAGGAAGCCAAACAGGCTCGATTGGCTTCCAAGCGGTTCCTCCAGAAGCTGGAGCTTTCAGGGAGCAACGAAGCTGAGCAAACAGTTGGGACACCCACCAGTATCGGGTTGGCTTCCAAGAAGATTTTCCAAAAGTTAAAGCTTTCCTCTAGCAGCAACAATAATGAAGAAGCTGATGAGAAAATATTAGATCACCTAAGGGCACCCATCAGCATCAAGGAGCTTACCATTTCAGGTTACACCGGCATGGCATGCCCTAGCTGGCTTGGTTCTGCTTCTGCAGGCTACACGAACCTGGTCACTGTGAGCCTCTGATTTTAAGAGGTGTGGGGCTCTTCCTTGCCTTGGGTTATTATCTCATTTGGAAAATCTCCATCTCAAGGGTTGGGATAGCTTGGTCTCTATCAGCTGCAGTGAATTTTGTGGTGACTGCTTTGGGGAAGATGGAGTACGGAAAGCTAGCTTCCGATCACTAAAGAAGCTGCATTTGGAGAGGATGGACAGACTGCAACGTTGGGATGGGGATGGGAAATGTGCCCTCCCTAGTCTTCTTGAGCTTGTTCTTGAGAATTGCTGCAAGCTGGAACAAGTGACTCACAGCCTTCCTTCACTGACGAAGCTAACAGTGGAAGGGTCAATTCATTTTCGTGGACTTCGGAATTTCCCATCTCTGAAGCACGTGAACGTAAATGCAAGTGGCTAGTGGATATGGGGATCATGGCGCAAACTTTCTTCTCCTATATCCATCACCCTTTGCAAAATGCCTACAGTGAGCTTCCCCTCGCCCTCAGAAATTGGACAGTTGCATAAATCTTTACAACGCCTTGAAATCTGCCACTGCGAGCAACTGCAGTATATACCAGAGGATTGGCCACCATGTAATCTGACTCACCTCTCTGTGAGGCATTGTCCTCTGCTTCGTGAACTGCCATGGGGCATAGAACGCCTGGAAGCATTGGAAGACATGGAGATTGTTTCTTGTGGGAAGCTTACTTACCGTCCGAACATGGATGGTCTTCATTCGTTAATAAGACTTGAGATTTCAGACTGTGGTTCCATTGAGTCCCTGCCAAATAGAGGCCTGCCTAGCTCAGTGCAGGTCGTGAGCATTAACAACTGCCCTCTGCTTGCACGGTCTTGCATGAATGAGGGAAGTGCGGATCGTGCCAAGATCAAGAGGATACTAGTATGGATTGATGGACATGAAGTGTCTGCTTCTGCTGACTTGTAAGTAGCTAGCCCAGCTTGCTTTGTTATCCCGAGTCCCGACAAAGATCTATAAAAATACTAAAGTACTTCGCGCTGTGTTCTTTGAACACGATGTAGCAAACTTGAAGATCAATGAAACTTCCTTTATCGAAAACAGAAGTGTTATGTTCTTTCTCTTCTGTTGTTCTTGCATCATATAAGCATCCTGAAGATACTCTTCATACATTCTGAAAATACTCTTCTGATCCTGGTACCACTAATTTCAGGTTTCTCTTTTAGAGCATGTACAGCTCATAGATAGAGGTGTTTTAAAATTTTTAACGAGGAAAGGCAAGCGTTTTGCCACAGTTTTTATTAGCCGATAGCAAAAATAAAAAGAGCAAAACAAACATACAACTAGTCAGTGAAGCCACTAATCATAAAAGGGAGAAGAAAGGAAAAAAAACTCTATAAAGGACTGCAAGAACAAAAAATGTCAGCCGAGAGGAGGATGGATACTAAACAGGGCTTGAGCTGACTCAGTAAAGTTCACTGAGGCTGTTACAAAACTACCGAGTTTCTACTAAAGATGGGCTAGAGCCAAAGCCAAAAGGTATTGAAGAATATATATCATCTTTGCACGGCACAACAACTTGTCTTGGAGTTAGCACTTTTCTGCTCAACTCATATCCCATCTTTCCAAATGTTTCACTGGAAATAGACCATGTCACCATGATCCCATCAGAATTGCCTTTCTGGCTCTTGTCAAATTTACTCCTACAGCTGGAGTTCTCACCGTCACCACGACAGGCAGTCTGACCATAAGATGATCGATGTTCGATGACGACAGCTTGGTTGGCGTTGATGACAGTTATGTCCAACTGTCGATCTCCAGCAACTGAACTTCGGCGAGGTAGAGTATGTGCCCGCCTCGGTGCCGGGCAGCGAGCACGGCAGTGACGGCCGCCCTTCTGCTTTGTTCGTTCAGATCGATGGACGTCTTCTACCATGGAAGTTGGAACCCAACGATGGTTATTAGGGCAGGTGCAGTGGCGGATCCAGAAGCCGAGCAAGGGGGGGCTAAATAACAGAGAGCTAAACCTCACTAGCCATACACTAGTACTCTAGTAGTAGTCTAGTAGATGTAATAAATATAACATAGAACACAATTAACAATATCAATTTCAACGTGCTCAATTAATCGTATAACATTGTAGATAGAGAAATAGCAAAGAAAGAGCATCGAATGACCAAAATTTTTTATATGTCTGCGATTGGCAATCAATTATTACTAGACATTGGCATAATGGCAATGTCATTCATAAAAAATTAGACACTGAACTATAGGAACAAATATATACGGGTCTTACTATGAGCTGGGATGGGCTGAGCTAGCAGAGGGCGCCGGAGCAGTGTCGCTGGAGCATGGGTGGCGCCAGGCGCCCAGGCGCTAGGCGCGGGAGGCCGGCCGGCAGCGGCTGCAGCAGGCGGGTAGCCCAGGGCCTGGCAAGGGTAGCCCCGAATCAGTATCACGGCGGACGCAGAGTCAAGGATGGCAACGGGGCGGTTTTGGTCGGATATCCGCGGGTTTCGGGTCTTGCGGGTTCGGGTTCGGGGATGATTTCTCACCCATGGTTTTCGGGTTCGGGCCCCCGAAATCAATCGGGTTCGGTTTCCGGTTTGGTTTTCCACCCATGGATATCCAATGGATATCTGAAATAAATTGTTTGGAATTAAAACTCATGTTTTATAATATGATAATAATAACTTGTTTACTTATATTATTAAATTTATTCTAAGTTCACTCATGAAAATATTTATTATTTGTCGCCTCTTGTCTATACATGTGAATGTGTATATATATCATGCATATGTTTATAGAAAGTTCTTATTTCTCTTACTATGTTGTCATACAAAGCGGGTTTCGGGTATCCATTCGGGTTTCGGGTATCCGCGGGTTCGGTTTTGAGGACGGATTATCACCCGAATTGGTGTTTGGTGCGGTTTTGGGTTTTGATTTCGGGTTTCAGGTTCGGGTGCATAGAGACTCCACCCGATCCGAATCCGCCCCGTTGCCATCCCTACGCAGAGTGGAGGCGGCGACGGGCGGATGGGGCACGGACGCACGGTCGGTCCTCCTTGCTCAAGACGAGGCATCGGCCGGCGGCGCCGAAGTCGCGGTCGCGGCCTCGGGGGATGGGCCGAGGTGACTCGCGAGTCGCCACAGCCGGCAGGGGCTGGCGCTAGACTTAGAGCAAATCGAGACCGGCCCGAGCCCGCTGGGTTTTGGCCCTCCGATAGACCTTACTGGATAGAACCTGGGCATAGATTTCACTGTCTAGAATTTTTTTGGCCCGAGCATGGCTATATATGGCCATGCAGCCCGAGCCCGTCGGCCCGGCCCAAGGCCTGTTTTTTTGCCCGGTCCAAGCCCGGCCTGGCCCGACGGCGAGTGGGCCCAGGCTGTCATGGCCCGGAGGAGCAGGCCTTGCCTGGGCCTTACCCTAGGCACGTGGGCCGGCACACGCAGCCCACTAAAAGCTTTAGGCCCGATAGAGGCCCGCTAGTCATAACATCCCCATGCCCGCCACACCGCCTCCACCTCCACTCCACTCCACTCCGCCTCCACAATCCCTCTATCCGGCCTCCCCCATCCCCGGCCACGCCGCCGCCTCCACCTTCACTCCACTCCGCCTCCTCCATCCCCAAGCCGCCGCCTCCGGAGCTCCACCTCCACCACGCGACGACGTCGAGTGCGGCGGCGGCCGCCGCCTCCACGGCCCCCCGCGCGTTTGGCTGTGGGCGCCTCCTCCGTGCCCCCCCCCGCACGGCTTCGAGCAGAGCGGCCTCCATCCCCTTCGTGGCGCCAACCCCGCTCCTCCTCGGCTCCTCCCCGTCCCTCGACCACGCTGAAGGCCAGCGCGACAGCAGCGCCGGCGTCGAGCACGGTAACGGCCGCCTCCTCCATGACCCCCCACGCGTCTGGCCACCTCCTTCGCGTCCCCCTGCAGCGGCCTCGATTTGGCCTTCTACGCCCTCGATCCGGCCGCTACTTTGCCGGACTCGCCTCCTCCGCCAGCTACTTTGTCGAGATCCGGCATCAAACGATCCAGGGGGGAGCTCGGCGGCGGCCGCCGCCACCTCTACTCCTCACCTCCCCCTCCTCTTTGTCGCATTTGGTGGGCCTCGGGTCGGCCCGACCTGCTAAAAAGGCCAGGCTCATCGGGCTGGCTCGGCACGGAAATTGGCCTGACAGGCTGTGCCTGGGCTGTTGGCCAGGCACGATGGACTGGTGCGGTACGGCCCAGTGGCCCGATGGGCCTTCCGTGCCGTGCCCTATCGGGCCGTGCCTAGCACGGGCCCGTGCCGTGCCGGACCGGGCCGGCCCATTGGCCATCAATGAGCATGGCATGAAATATTTATTTTAGCTATTTTAGACTATAAAACACGATGGTGACCCACCCAGGCCCAGGCCCAGCTCGAAAAACTAGGCCCAACTCGTCCAGTGGGACGGTCATGGGCATAATTTTTTTGGCCCAAGAAAGCCCGACTTTTTTGGCCCGGCCCGCAAAATGCTCAAGTCTAGCTGGCGCTACGGTTCGCTCCGTGCATAAGTTCAATTCAACTCACTACAGTTTGGACTCCGCTAAGCATTGGGCTCAAGGAGCTCCGGGACTAAGACCATCTCTAAGAGTATTTTTAAAGCTCACTCTTTAAATTATTATTTGGAAAATTCTTTCTATAAAAATCACTTTCTATATCTTTTCGTACTCCAACAGTTTTTATATATCTTGTTTGCACTCTAGAGTGATTAGCGAGAAATCCGCAATAGAAGATGCTATATTTGGATAACTAAATAAAAAAGTTGTTGGAAGCATTTTTTTCACCAAAATCTCTATTCCTAGTAATTAAAAAAAGATATAGAGAGTGTCTTAGAGTTGCTCTAAGGAAAAAAAAAAGAAGACCAAGCCGAGTTGGACAAGAAAAGGGGGGAAAACTTTTTTCGTACATAAACTTCTAGATAGACACGGTTGGAGATGATTTCAAAATAAATCAAACTAAAGTACAGAATCCTATCAAACTAATTTGAAAATAAATAGAAAGTCATTTCTTTCTCTAACTAAATTGACAATAATTTAAATAAAGCTTTAAAATTTTAAAAGAATATTGGAATCATAAATTTATTTAGTGTTTTATATGACAGTCAGACTCGTGAAGAAAGACAATGATGGTGTGCCAAGTACTCGTCAAATGGACAATATTATCTGCTGCTTCACCCAGCTCTCACCTTCTCGGGGAGCAGTTTTAAGGAGCTCTATCTGAGAAGCTGATCTTTTTTAATTTATTTGGCAAAAAAAATTCAAATAGGAGAAGTTGTCCAAATAAGACCCATCCCCGAGGTGCGCTGAGGATTTGGGTACTGCATCGGTAATTTTTTTTAATTAACCGGAGCTTTATATTAAATCATGAGCAGCATTACAGTCAGAAACGACGAGATCTCGTAGACCCGGTGGAGTTATAAGCCACTCTCCCACCGGGTTTTCACGAGAAACTAGCCTAGCACACTCATGAGCCAATATATTACAGGTTCTACTAACAAAACATAAACTGAAATACTCAAAGCTCCAGTTAAGTTCCGTCATTTGGAACAGGACAGGATCAATCTCCGAACGTTGCGTTGTGCGGTTCTCCCAAAGCTCCACCAAAACCTGGCAGTCGGTTTCCACAAGTAGCTTACGCACACCACGTTCCTTCGCATACTGCATACCATCCCGGCACACCAAGGCTTCGGTGGTCAGGACGTTTAAGGAATGCTCATACCATTTCGCCGATCCCCCACAGGTCCGACCATCATGATCACGGAGAACTACTCCCGTCGCTCCTGTGCGATCACCATCAAAGAAGGAAGCATCCACATTACATTTTACCCACCCAGGTGCTGGTTTCTGCCATTGCTGACAATCTGTTGTCGCAATTTTCTGAATCCTTGGAGGGTGACTCATTTGCCACAAATCGAAAGCCGTATCTATCGCCCATTGCACTGCCACTCGCAAAGGACAAGCTGCTTCACCATGCCTTCGCTTATTTCTCGCCATCCACAGCGACCACATGCCGCAAAGAATAATGGCCGCATCCCTAGGAGAATACAGAGCTGGATCGATTAAGTGATGTGCCCAGGTGATCGGATGCAGCCTTGGCAGCTTGACTGCGCAGAACCGTTTGAAATAACACATTTTTTAGAGGCGCTCGTCTTCTACTAGACACTGAGCACTTTTAAAGTGAGCTATATCGGATAGTTTCGTCAAGCACACCCCAAGTGAGAACTCGAAACAATCCACGTTTTACATCTAGAATCCAATAATAAGTACGAGCTTATAATACTTAGTCCATTTCATACCACAAGAGTTCTTTAAAATTATTTATTACAATACCAGAGTTCACAGTACGATAATTAAACAGCGGAATGAAAATAAACATCTAGCGGAAACGATATAAGAATCTGTCTGTACCCACCAAAAAAATCCTCCACACAAGAGCTACTCCTCAAGCTACACCTGCAATAGGGGTAAATAAACCCTGAGTACACAATGTACTCGCAAGACTTACCCGACTAGTGAGAATAGTTTTCCGACTTTCAAGGAGTATTATAGGCAATATGTGTTTGCTGTTTTTCTTTTTATTTGCGAAAGGTCAAGTTTTATTAGCAGTAAAGATTATTTCATTAGCTAACCATTCTAAATAAGCACTTGTTCTACTTTCAAGCAAGGGTTGAGCCATCAGAACTATTTCACCATCTTTCATCTTTCAGTTCTTACTACATTGCTAGACCATAGACAAGTCATACCGTATCATGAAAATAACGATTCACGAACCAATGTATCCCAACTGGGTACCCCAAAACACACGCCCTGTTTGTACCCCAGGCACAAACAGGACTAATCCATTCCACTCGTGTCACAAGGGTCCAGGTCCTCGTCCAATTTGGACTCCAAGCCCCCACATTTGAGACCCGGTCTCAATATGGTGCTTAGACCTCCACATTTCCCCGCCTCCAATCAGTCGGTCCGGAAAGAGCCGGAACCCATGA